GACACTCGGTAAGTAATCCTACAATTTTTTGTTTATAGCGTAGTTTATACGGATTATTCCCAAAAAATATATACGTATTTTGGAAATGTTGAGTCGGATTAGTCTAGAATCGATTAATTTTATGGAAGAAAATCTTTCAAACAGCCGTAGTCCGTAAACTTGACACGTGTCGGGTTGTGATTGGAAGGATTCGTAAGAAAGCGGATTCCTAGAGAATGGAACGTATCTCTATCTTATAGGGGGGTCGACTGTATTTGGTTTTACATGTAATCATATGGGAAAAAATTATTCACCTTACGACATTTTCATGATACGATCTCAGTTTTGAAACAGATTAATTTCGTATCCTGAGGTACCACTGTATAAGGATAATAGCTAGAATTCATCCTAACATCTAGAATATAATATGCATTAAATTCTGTTCAGCAATATTTTTATGATTTTTGCCCATTCTTGCCAGATTTGTTTAGTATTCTGACAGTAACTGTATGAAATCTATTGTAGATAGCACTTAGCTATTGATGTGATTCAAAATCACAAAACTGCATCAATTGATGTCTGTCAAGTGTGGTTAGATTCAATAAAAGAATGAAAAGTGTCAAAAAAACAACATCTCCAATTACTTTTACTTGAACATGTTTACTTTATGCATATAAATTTGGCATAAAGATTCAAAAGCAGCTTGCAAGATATACACATCATTTGGAGAAAATACAAGATAATACAAGGCTTCAAATGACACAGATGACCTAAAGGCTTCCCAGTCTTGGTTGCAAAATTTTATAGAATTTTCCATTAAGGCTTACCTTTAGGTTGTGTTTTTGCTTCTGAAAACAAAGAATTTTATAAGAGAGCAATTTAAAAACTTGTTTCTCATTGGAAAAAAACAAGAGTGTTCACTGTTTATGAATATATTTAATTTTATCTCAAAAATACTTCATAAACTATTTTAGATGCCTGATGTATTCTTTCAAATAATTCCAAAGGTTTATTGTTTGGAGAAATTAAATATCATTTAATAATTATAAAATAATAACTGCATCATTTGAAAAATTATATTTGATTTGAAGCTGTAATTATCATGATAAATCTTAGATTGTAGTAAATAGATGAATAACATTTCCTTTTTAAAAGTAATTCTAATTCTCTCCTGAAGCAATTATACAATGAACTGAAACATAACAGACTATAAATGAATACTGTTTATCAAATCTTTTACATGTTTACTTTCAATATCATAAGTTATAAATCTAACAATATAAGCCATTGATTGCACTGTTTGTATACCTGTAATCTGTAATCTGTAACAGAATGCCTAGAACGACCACTAGGGGCGTCCCAAGCTATTATTTAAATTAACAATAAATTCAGTATACAGTAGAGCATCGATTATCTGACCCCTGATTAACCGTCACCTCGGTTAACCGACCGCGTTCTAGTCGGCAAATTCAAATGTCCACTAGTGATGTGGCGCTACAATATTTGGCTATGTCTTGGCTACTTTAATATTATTTTTACGTGTTTTAGCTGGCAACACTCATTCGACCATGAAAGGGAGCCAGTATTTAAACGAGGCTTAATTTTCTAATTTTTAACAATACAATAGCGACAATTATTATTTTAATAAAAAATTTGATAGGCTTAACATGGAGGAAAATTCAAAGCAAAATAGGTTAATAGCGATATACTAATATACTAATATACTAATTACATGGGATATAATAATATACTACACTAATAATAGATATTTTCATACTTTTCAGTTATCCGACTTTTCAATTATCCGACCAACCCCAGTCCCCAATTGAGTCGGATAATCACTGCTTTACTGTATTATTATTTTAATTTGTAATATGAATTTATTATTATAATAAATTAATATTATAATGAATAACGAATATATATAATACATAAATAACAAATAACATAACAAAATATTAAGAAACTAAAAATGGGTAAGATTAAGACAATTCTCAATAAACAAAGCAAAACAAAAAAAACAACCAACTGCCATGTTGCACGTATCTATATATATCAAGTATTATTATAGTATTTATAAGTATCTACATATATATTTTTTTATTTGTAATAGGATTTTATTATTGATATGAATTTATTATTTATACCATGGAATGACACCGCTGCTACTAGAATGCCCACTAGGGGGCATCCCAGGCTACTAATATTAGTATAAAATATACTTACACTATTATTTTCAGGGCTGGATTTTCGTTGTTTTGATCTGAAGCGATCCTTGAAGTACATTCTTCTCTTTTTATATTCAGCAGCAATAGAAGATACTTTTGATTTCCACAGATTTTCTTCTACAACCATTACCTTTCAAAATAAATAAACTTCACTCAATAATAATTAGAAATTAAAATCTTAATATGAATCAATTTATAAAATTCTATATGCAAATTAAAAAAGAAAACAATAACATATAGGGTGAATCAAAATAAAGTATTCCTATTTAGAGAAATCTGCAGAAAGGCCAGTATACAGAATGCTGTCATACTTGATGTGTTTACTTTCCAGATTGCAAAGAAGAAATCATAGCAATAAAATTAATTCAAATACCCGTCAATAGGAAAAACGGGGTACTGTAATATCAACTTTTAATCCTGCTAACAGCAAACACATTGGACATTGAATTGATAATCCTTGATAACTGATCTGAAGTCTCTATCAGCTGTTATCTAACCACTTTTATATATTGTATTAATGTATTGAATGAATGCTAAAAAATCCATTTATGAACTTTGTATGTCATTGAGTTTAGTTCATTTCTCAATCATACATCTATCCACTTCTCTCTGCTATACTCTCTTCTTGCTTATAGCATCAAATTTCCACTATTAGTGAGTATTTGAAATAGTTTTTTTTATTGACAAAATTCTTTTCATGATCTGGAAAGTGTATACACTAAATATGACAGTATTTTGCCCACTAGGTCTCTTCACACACTGTTCTCATAGGGAGAATTTGAATCATCCTGTATATGGAAAATCATGTTAAAATATTTGTGAAAAGCTTCTATTAAAATATCATAAACAAAAAGAATACACTAAATAAAAAAAATTACAAAACGAATGAAATCAAGAGTTAATTTTATAGTCAGACTATAAAATTAACAAAAATAAATAAAAATAGACATGTTGATAAAAATATAACAAATAAATGGTTGAAAAATAATTGAAAAAAGTTAAAATTTAAATCATTATAAATAAAATTTTAAATATGAAAAGTAAAAAATATAAAATAAATAAAATGATTTTTACTAATGGGAATTTCTTATCACAATGCTACATTAACTAGGTTCACCCTACTTCAATTTTTCTCATTTATAATTATTTAACTAGTTAGAAAAATGTTTAATCATTCACTCTTTGTGGTTTTATATCTATGGGTCATTTTATTTAAAACATGAATTTAGAATTTGTTTAGTCTTTTTAAATATCTTGTTTGAAACAGTTTTTTGAATCTAAATATTGTTCAACGTCATATGTCATTGATGGTTGTATGAATGTTCTGAAACTTAACATTTCAATATGTAACCTGGTGTTTTCAGGATTTTTTCCAGGTGATCAATAAAAACTGCTGAGTGGACCCTCCTTATATAAATAACCTTATTCTATCTTAAAGAAGGTTATTGACAATAGTTTTGATGTTTCAGTTTGAAATTGGAGATTCTGTTGTTTTTGAATTATTATCACTATTTTGGCAACTTTCTTTTTTTAAAAAATCTAAGTAAATTAGTCTGATTTAACTTCTTTTTTATGTCACTTATTTAGAGATTTTTATAGTTTTCAATAAAAGAAAAAATTCACACTTCTACACAAATACACTTTTTAAAACTTGATAAAGAAAACAGTGTTAAACTTTTTAAAAAAAACACTGACTATGCTACTCTATTTTCATATCAGACTTGTCTTTTTTGTTCATCTGCATTAATATCTGAAGCTTAATTTGCTTGTGTTGACATGTAACCATGAGCAAAAACATCTGAAAATAAATGTGAAGAAATAAAAATTTTATTTAACAATAAAAGAGAGTTAAATCTGCAAAGACTTCTTTTTTTACTATGGCACATCACGATTTTTAATCTGTTGTTTTATAAGATTTAAACATAAGGAATAACAATACTAATAATAATGCTAATGATATGGTAAAATAATAAAATAATTATGTTATACATAAAAAATCTAAAATTGTGAAGGACCAAACCCATATTGTGTAGCTACAGTGCCTAGCATCTTATCCATTTAGCTATCTGAGAACTTCCAGAAGTTCTGAGAAGTTGCAGAACTTCCAGACTTATAAACTAAACACTCAATTATTTGAAAACTTCAGAAATGAATCATATTATTTGGAGAAGAAGCTGTGTTTATGGTTATGTTTCATTCAAATCTGTGACCTGAAGTCTGACCCTCTCTTTGTTAGTAGACACACCTTATATGTATGAATAAAACAATGTGAAAAAAACTGTCTGAAGAACATAAGACATTATATTTGATGAACTGATTATATAATATATATGTTACTGTGAATGACCGATATCTGGAGTATATCAACATTCTCTGGTGAATGTTTATATTTAAGGGTCATTATTTCTCACTTACACTGGCAAATGTCGACATTCAGCATGCACTGATGGTGAATATTAAATAAAAATATTTTTATTACATTAAGACAAAAATGCAACTTTTTAATATGTCAAAATAGGAGAAAGCTTAAGTAACAGCACATGTAAATAAACTGTTGAACCTAAAACAAACAGTACATTCTAAATCATTAAAGAAAATAATACAATAATAAACTTACACATAAATTATGTGATTAACGTTATACAAATCTTATTTATTGCAACAACTTAAACTGTTATGGCACTTTGAATTACACACAAGTCCCTTGTTTTTACAATTGCATTTATTCGTGGAACACTTCTTTTTGCAATGACAGCGTGTATAGCCTTGCCCTCCACTTTTCAAATTAGCTGTAGCTGCTTCTCTCAGCGATATTTCTTGTGAAAAAATATCATCTATGGAAAGTAAAGTAACTTTTCTTTACAAATTACGAACTGATTACAGAAACAAAGCTGCTTGAGGGTACCATTTTTGTTTGCTAATTTATAAAAGTCAAAGTCTTCTATTCCAACAGCAACTGCCAACACATTTCGGGCATCTGTACGGCCACGGTCGACATCAGGGACTTGTATTCGTACGGTATCACCAATTTGAGCAGAAGGAAATTTTCTTTTTGAGGTTCATAACATTTTCGTTGCTCGCAGTAGAAGATTCTTTTTATTGAAATGACTTCATGTTGTTCAGTCAGGACTTGATATGAAGATGTGGTGGGCTGCATCTCCTCTTCAATATTTTCCTTTGGAATATGGTATTCATTATGGCCACTGCTCAAATTTTCTTCAAAAGTATTAACAATTTCTTCAACCTCCACCAAAGCTTATCTGTGTTTGTCGACATACACTGGCAATTGTTCGAATGTATAATAATATAACCAAATATTCGGTCTTTCACCGATGTATTTTGTATGTGTCAACATTCACCGGAGAATATCGACATTCTCTAATTTCGGTCTTTCACAGTAACATATATACAATGTAAGCATTTGTTTGTAGAAAAAAAAGCAGTTTTGTTTACAAATAACAGAGGTTTTTTTTAATAGTGTACAATATATTTTTGATCTACTTCTTTATTTCAAATAGTTAGTAAAAATAATACTTTTAATTTTGGCCAAATATAGATACTTATATTTATGAAAATCTTTGGCTTCATTTTAAATTTTAATGAAACCTTTGGGATTCAAATTTGTCAAGCCTGATTTATACTATCTATTACTATTTTCAATGCAGTTGCATTACAAATAGCAATAGATAGTATTCACTAGATCTTATTTTAATATAAATTTAATTTTAAAAAATTACCTCTGATTTATTATGAACATCTGAATCCAATGGAGATGCAAATTGGCACACAGGAGTCTTCCTTTTAGAAATAACTAAAAAAAATATATAAAAAAATTAAAATTTTCAATCAGTCATACAGTAATATCACAGATATTGTTATCAGTTGTCTAATCTTAACAAAATTGGCATATCCAAAAACATATAAGTTAAAATGCACTTATAAAATTGTATTTATCAAAACCAGAGTTTTTATTATAAGTATCATTATCTTTGGGTAAACATGCATTTACAAGCTGTCTTTTCAAGTTTTCAAGTTCAACATTGGCTGATAATATGCAATTTTTACAGTCTTAAAACAGTGCTTTAAATATTAAATGTTAATTGTTATTTGCAAATGGTACAGTAAGCTAACTGCTGCTGGCATTTCTTACTTTTCAGGTTTTCATTCCTTTGCAATGAAAACCTGAGGCTGCTAGTTTCTGACAAAACCAAATGACTTATCCTCTATAAAAATTATGACTACAATTCTAGAGCAGAATAGTTTTGCAGCAATGTGGTTCTAGTCTATTAAATAATGACCCCACTCCAGTGGCGCTAAGATTAACTCAAAAAGTCATCATATGACCTGGTCTGTTGTCTTCACTGGCTGGACCTCTTCATCCACCAACAAATGTGTCTTGCCCATGGCTGTTCTTTGTGGTAAAAACTCATAAGCCTAAATGGCCTCTATGTCCTTTGGCCAACAAACATATCCACCTAATATACCATTTGGAAAAGGCCTTGGCTACATTACTCACTACAATTGTTCACAACTCCAATTTTGTGGTATCTTCAATGTTACAAGCTAAAACAAGTATTGTTAACAGATTGGGTTCAATTCCATTGAAAACTTTTCAGTTTTACAAGATTAATGTAAATTTGCTCTATCCATCTGTACTGAATGTTGAGACTGCAATGCTTGCTAACACCCTTTAGCTTTCACAATCCAACAAATACTTGGTATACGGGAGGCTCTCATTCTGATCACTCAACCAATATGTGCATTTCACAATGATTTCATCTTTTAAATTTGTATGATGTTCTATTTTTAGAATGCACATTCATTTATATCTATCCACCTTTCTCTCAGTGATTGCAATTATTTATAATAACACACCTGAATTTTTGCCGAGCATAAAATTATTTTATTTCAAACATTTTCAACTTATTTATTATAGGCCATCCTCAGGCTTATGATTATCGTTCCAAAATAGAATGTAATGTTTTTCGAATAAGTTTCATTTTTAAATTTAAAGATTTAGAATAATTGTGTACATGAAAAAATAAATAATTTATATCTATGTTTTTCTAATCTGAAGATGATAGATGATCATTTAAAACAGAAGAAGGCATTTGTTTTATTTGAATATATTCATTTTTTGCTGGTTTTTTGGTGTTTATGTGTATTTATTATTATTTATTACTAAATTACACCAGTATTATCATAGAGACTGAACTATAAACACATGCTAATATGATAATTCCCTTTGGAAGGGATAATTTCCCTGTCAAATAATAAAGCAAATTCTCTTTTGACTTTGTTAATAGGTTCTTGAAAACTGCAATGTTAAGTAAAATGATATATAACAAAATCATTTTGCCATGGACTAATTGATATAAACAAGATTTAATTTAGTTAATATTTGCCTATGTGTAGCCATGGCTACTGTGGTAACGTTTTCACTTTTTTGTCCAAATTTAAAAAAAAAAATTCCCACATTAGATTTTGATGATTTTGTTGTCAAAATTCTCAGTAGAACCCTGGCATATGTATAAATTATATTTTCCAAAATATAATTAACTCTGAGAAAAAATATATTCAAAAAACTAAAATGTTGACTTTTGCTTATTTGACGCTTAATAACAAAAAAGTATTTTGACATTTTTTTGGGTGCTGTTTTTTGGAATATAAAGCCACACAGTTGCTTGATATTTTTCCAGAGTTTGGTGAATTTTGGTTGAATATGGAAAAGTTATCCAGATTCTAAGAAAGAAAAAACAATTTTATGTCCCTCATCCCCACTAGATGGCAGCATGTTACCTAGCTCTTCAATTGCCTTGCTATAACAACAGGAAGCTTCTGAAACAATGTGAACTTTGTCATTTTTTTCAAGGTGTGAACTTTTTGATTTAATTTTAGTACTAAAATATAGTCAATTCATTTAATTGGGCCACTGGTTAATTGGAGCAGTTGCTTTTTTGGGCCAAATCTCAAAGAATAGAAACAAAACTAATAAACTAATACATAATTTAAATGTTTAATTGAGACAGTAGCAGAAAAGGAATTTAGCAATTCTGATATATTTTAGGAATTTCCAAAAATATGTTAACACTACATACACTAATGTCATGTAGGCCTAATGGTTGGCAGAGACAAAGTAATTTTGTGTTTAGCTTGGGCAGTTCAGTTTTTTCATAGGAGGTCAGCATAGTAGGACTTATCATACCAGGATCCCATCTGAGGCAGACCTAAATAAGAGCTACTGACCCTGCTTCAGATAGGACCAGCTCAACTCCTTCCTCTCATCCTATCCAAAATTTTCAACTTTTATGTAACTATTTCAAATATATGTTTTTTAGTTGTGTCAAGCAAATCACCAACGTTATGCTTTAGACGCAATTCCCTCAGTCCAGACTGGACAAAATCTCAAACGAGACTGCTTTTAACGAGCGACTCCAATTTATCTATGACTTTTCCCACTTAAATGCAAACTGATTTTATTTTATTAGTCTTTTATTTCTTATTTTTTAGTTTCATTTACTTTACTTTAGTTTAGTTTAATTTCTTTATTACATTTTTCTTTTTAATCTGTACTTTTCATTTTCATCATATTTTTTTCCTTTTCTCAACAATAAATCACTTATAATCTTTCATTTGTCACATGTTACTGCTCGAACTACTCGACCAGGTTAACTACATCAATAAACATTGTCTCGAGTTTCTTGATATCACCTATCTAATATTTTAACTGGAATGTGTTTGCAACTTCTGGCATTTTTTTCACCTCACAGAATCAATTTTATTGTTTATAAAAAAAAAATTCAACTATTGTAAGGAGTCAATTCTGAACCATTCTATTTTGTTTGGGGATTATTTTTAGTTTGTTATTCTATTTATTTTGGGGCATTTTATTTCATTAAGCATAGACTATTGCACCTACCCAGACAAAACTCTAAAAGTTAAAACTGATCTGACAGATAAAAATGACATCATCATCGCAAAACGACATCTCATGGGTGGGAGACTTCCACAGTAACTTAAAAGAATGATCTCCCACCCCCAAATTGTTACAGGACATCACAAAAAAAGTATTTTAAAATTTGAGGAGATGACATGAGTAAAAAAACAGACTACTAGAACAAATAAAATGTTACTGTGTAAGTATGTAAATAGGCCAAGTCAGCAGATATATTGTAACATCATCACACCTGTTGCACAAAAAGGAGATGAAGAGATGACTCAGACAAGGTGAAGCTTAGATTCTAATGAGGTGGTGCTAAGAATCAAGTGATCAACAAAAAGTTTCCAAGTTTCAGTTCCAGTAACAGTGTTTTTATGATGCATAGTCAAATTTGTAAGATTCACTGTATTTTTTTGATAAAATTGGTTCCTAGCTTTCTTGTCAGTTGTGTGGAGATAGAATTAAGATAGTTCTAATTTGATTTAAGTTCCCAAATTGTCAGAAAGGTTTTGTACATATTTGTTTTGGTTTTATAAAGTATCTTTTTTTATTGTACAAAGATTTTCTAGTGTTATTGAATTGTACATATACGGGCTTTACTAATAAATAGAATTTTTTATATTATGTATAGTACTTCTTTCAACATTTTATGTTTAGTAACAATATTTTATTTTTGCTCTTGCAAGTTCAGGCCTGGCACACTAACAACGAAACTTAGTACATAAGACACTGTTAGTGTATTTTTCTGAGCTTTTGCTTTACTTTTATATAATAAGACATTACACAATGATAATTGTAAATTATTACAAATGTATTCAGTATCTTTCCTCAACAATGTTATAATGAAGCAATGTTAAATGAAAACTTGCTATATATTCAAAATTAAAATACAAATACAAATTATAAACTTCCATTTATGGAAGTATATATTTGTATAGTACAATGAGATATATAAAACTAGAAAGATGTAACAATGCATTTTAAAGAAATGGATACATTATGTTTGTGCACTATCCACAGCTTGGTGTACTTTCTTTGAACTAATATAACGTTTTCCTTTCTTTTTCTTACATTGTGGAGAGTTCTGGCTTGTAAGATTTATATATTTCACTGTACTACACAAATACATACTATAAATGGAAGTTTATAATTTGAACTTTTATTTTTATTTTCAAAAGATAACCCAATATTCTGCCTAATTGCACATGTATATTCACAAATTGTATGTACTTTCAAAAATAAAAATATCTTTTAAAAATTACCAAAATACCCAGAGAATAACCCATAGGTCATTGTGTTTTAAAATCAATTTGAAAGTGGACATGAAAGTTAATTCTAAATTATATACAAACTCATAACATTCATCGACGATGACCGTTGAAAATGGACAAAAACGTTTGTTTAAAAGCAAATTAATTGCTGGTTTGTGGGTAATTGCTTATTTTGTTTAATTTTATATCAGTAATATCATGGTGATCACATCACTACTCATTACACTAACTCATGTTACTACTACTTACACACTCATTACTATTTTGTTTCATTTTAAATTATGTACAAGATTACCCAACAACTTCTCTTTTCACTTTATCAAGAGCATCTTTAAATCTTTTACATACAACACATTTGCATCTGCCATTGCAATTTTTCTGGAAACCATAAAAAACTGGTATACATTTGCATCACTTTAGTTCTTTATTTTTTTGTACATTAACTCATTATTTAATTGACACTAATAAAAATATTTAAAAAAACCAACGGAGTCAGATAAATTGTCTTTACCCAATTGTACTATTCACTAGTACACAGAAAAATAATTCTCCTTTCTTTATTGACTTCTGGAGGCTTAAAAAATTTCAAGTCCGTAGACTGTATAAAAAACAAAAGGACC